TGTCATTGCCCTGTAATCTTTTGGTTTCATTTTTTTATTGATATCATTTCTTGGCTTTGGGGACTTTGCCACACATATTTTTAGCAAGTGTTCTCCAGACTGTGTTACTAGCTACCTGGGCCACTCTTAGTCCCGATGGTTGACATGCAGCATTAACCATCATGCATTAATTTTTTATCATTTTCTTGATTTTATGTAATAACTTTTAAGAACCCTTTGACAATTTTGGAATTCCATTCTGTGTAGGACTGCTCCTAGGCCTGAGATAATCCCCTATGTGGAAAGAGAATTTAAACAATGTCCATGCGTTATGTTTAATATCTCCCAGCAGACACACTATAGGTGATCAGTATGCATTAAACTGGCATATCTTTTTATTTCTTTTGAATTGTGTAATTGTTTTTACTGGATTCTTGAAATTATAATTTTTACTCTTAAGAACATTTTAAACAGCCGGTTGGGAGTTTTTGACATTTAGAAAAACATTAGGATAATTGTGAAATGTGAAATTTGAAACCATCTTAGAAATTTAATCCCTCATGAATATAGTTGGGACACAATGTGGAATATCATTTTATTAAATGTTGAGAAATTGTAGCAATTAGATATGAATTCATTTATTCCAACACTTGCTACATTTTTTAGGCAAAATTATCTGTATGGACAGTTTCACTTCAAGGCCACCACTTTGTGTATGTGTATCTTAGAGAAGAACAATTAATGCTACTCTCTTACTGAAGCTCCCTAAGTCAAAAGGATACCTACACAACAATTGTTCTTAGGATATTTGATACAGTATATCTTTTTCTGCCTGTTGTTTCAGAAATTCTAAATTTCATGTTTCTCTTTTTTACCTCAGAGCGTAATTGTGTTAGTCAGTTTTGATTGTCACTGTGGTACACTTGATTAAATACTAATTTAAATTACATGCATTCTTTCTTGAATTAGAATTGTTGAATTCAGTTTATTAGAAGCTTACTGGTAGCAGATGTACTTTTAAAGAAAGTAGATGACAGGATAATATTCTGTTGGGTTTCTAATGTTATTTTTACTGCCAAATATTTTGGACTAGATTATTGGAGCACATTTTTAAAAACCTGGATAAGTGATTTGGCATGTATAATGGCAGAGAGAAATACACATGTTTTAAGAAAATTGTGTTATAGGCTCTGCTCAAACTTAAAATTGGGGATATTTACTTTTTGGCAGCAGTTAAATAATGAAGCATTATTAAAAGGCATTGACAATAATTACAAAGTAGCCCACTTTTAGATATGTAAGTGTCACTCTTCAAATTAAGAAACTCCTTTAAAATCATTAGCCTTGACTTAAATGTAGTTTAAGTACTTCTCTCTCAAGAGGAACAAGATCTGTTTCTTTTTCATTCTAAAGTTTTCAAAAGAGCCTTTATTTCCCCTTCTCATGATCACTGGAAAAACAATGTTTTTAACATGTATTTATAGGTTTTACATATACACATATGTATTTAAATAATAAATAAAACATATTTATATATTTAACATTTTAAAAAGCATATGTTTTATTTAAATTGATGGTCATGTTATAGTATGTGTGTGGGTAATTCATATTTTTCTTTTATTGATGTGATATTTTTCAATGTCTGTCCAACAGCTTCAAAAATCACTCTTTAAACGTTCCTTCAGGCTTGGTTAAGAGCTATCTATAATTAATAGTGTATTGCCCAAAACTTAGTAGCTTAAAACAGTAAACATTTATTCTTTTCCATGGTTTGTTTAGATTAGGAATCTGTGTGTAGTTTAACTAGTTACTCCGGCGCAGTTGTCTAAAGCAAGGCTTTCTGGTGGTTGGAGGATCAGCTGCCAAGGTGCCTCACTCACCTGCCTTGCAAGTTCATGGTGGGTTTCAGGAGAGGGCTCAGTTTTCAAGATATGCTTGGATCTTGCCATGGGATTTGAGCGTTTTCAAGATATGGTGACCGCTGCTTTGCATAGAGTATGTGATCCATGAGGGAGGCTGAAGCTGCAATGCCTTGTTAATTAACTAGTCTGGGAAATGACATACTCTCCCTTCTGTAACACTGTGTGCATTAGAAGAGACTCACTAAGTAAAAGGCACATTCAAGGAGAAAGAGAATACAAATGGAGGACTACCCAAGAACTGTGATCGTATTTTCAAACTGCCGATTGGGACTCCTTAATAAAATGCATCCTCCCTCCTAGGTATCTTATCTTCTGCTATGCTTTTAAGTACTAACTTAAAATTCTCAAATTTATAAAGATTCTCTTGTGAGTCACTGACCTGTATTCAACTTCCTTCCAGATTTTGTTCATGGCACTACCATCCAGCCACTTGTTTGCTTAGGCAAGAAACCTAGTTGTCATCCTTGTTTCCCTCTCTTTTATGCTCATGCTCAGTTAGCCATCAAATGATGTAATTTTTTTGTATATAAACAGAGGTCAAATATTTATCTGTCATTACTCATATAAAGCAACAATCTTGTCTTCACTGCTCAAAATAGCCTTATAATATGCATTTTCTTATCAATGCCTTTCATCTTTTTCTCCAGTAGATTTAATTTTATTTAAATATACATAATTTGAGGTAAACAAAGTGTAAAGGTAATAAATGGAAAGTAAATACAAATGCAGGCTGTTTTGCTAATGTTTTTGTATTCATAGTGAACAAACATATAAGGCAGGCTAGAGATTTTATTCTCTGCTAAGTGCAGATTAAGCTGCAGACCTTATTTTTTGAGTGGATCCTCCACAATGTAGAACAGTCCCACGGATAAACCTGATCTGAACGGGGCATTGATGGCTTGATATATGTAAGCGCTTGATTCATCTGTCCTGTAACTATTTAAAGTATCTTCCCCTAAAGCAGTGGCTGGTGGGTTAGTCTATTTAGTCAAAATACTAAATAGGTACATGGTGCGCTTCCCTGTTATTTATAATGTTACAACCACTTCTAATTACATTAACTCTCTTTGATCAACACTGTTAATGTGCTGAGAGAGAGAGGGAGAGAGAGAGAAATACACACCATGTTGAGTGGTATCCAGAATGGAAATGACTATACAGCTTGAGAACTTTAAGTGACCTGCTCAGAAGTTATACATGGGGTCTATGCTACAGTTATAGTTTTTCCAAAATAATATAGAAATATGGTAAAAACTAATGTCATTCTCAATTTTTAAATAATAGGTCTGGTTTCACAAACCAAATCAATGTTTTAAGTTTCAAGGGAAAATATTTATAGTAATAAAATTTCTCTCTTTTTACTCTTTTGTTTCTCTTCTCCCTTCTCTTTTCACATTTCATGCTTAATAAAAATAGAAACAAGAAAAGTTGCATATATTTATTTAAGTATATGTGATGTATATGCACATTAATGAGTTAAACAATCAGCGCGAATTTATAACTATTACGTAAGTATATCTAAAATTAATTACCTTGTGTGGAAATCAGCTCTATTAGATTGTTGGCAAACAACTTAAAATTTTACTTATATGCATTTTAAAAGAAGTCTTGCTGAGCTTTTACAATGAAATATCTGAGTTTCTTCCAGTAATGTGCTGATTATGTTAACAGTCTTGGAGTAGGAAACTGTAAAACTTGACATGAAAAGATAGATAGTTGGCTGTATAAAAATGAAATATATATGTTCAGCAAATATCTAAAACCAAACTGCAAACTAGAAGAACATTTGCCACGAATATGAAAAACAAATTTACATTGTTTCTATACAACTATTACAGTGTAACTATGGATAAAATTAAGCAAGCAATTCAGAAATATGAAGTCAATAAACATATGAAAATATTTTTATTGTATAAATAAAGAAGTGAAAATTAAAATAAGGATACTATATCATTTTTTTGTCTAACACTTTGGCAAAATTTAAAACAGTTGGTAATATGTAGTTTTGAAGAGAAAAGTACTGCTGGTGAAAGTGTACATTTTTATTAAATGTTTTGACATCTAGTTGTTGATATTTACCAAACTTGAAGTATATTTCATTTATAGAAATATATCGTTAAATATATTTTGATAATTATATTTCTCCAAAATATTATAGCCATGGTACACAATATGTTAATACATTTTTGCAGTGATATGACAGAAAACACTGTGATATTCCTACATGGTTATCAACATCAACTAAGTAATGTTTTATAATTATAAATGATATAGCCATTGAAGGCATACACTATAGAAATGAAAACATTTTCATCATATATTGTTAAATTAATTAAGTTAATGTATGAAACAATATGTGTACTGTGATATAATCTTAGTAAAATTTACTTGAATAAAATCAAAAGAGTGGTGGGAGGAAACATCTAATGTCTATTTGTTTTTCCTGTACAAAAGTGTAATAGAAAGGCTATCATATTGTTAACCAGTTACCTCTTAACATTTGGGAAAAGGTGTGGAGAGGGAGCTAAAGCAAAAGATTTTTTTTCCATATACATCTCCTTTTCTTAAATAAAGTACATTCATTATTTCTATAATTAACTCACCAAGTATACAGATTATTTAATTATTACTTAAAAGTATATAATTGTGTTTTAAAATTGAAACAGGCCACTTTATTTAACTAAGAATATTTATAAGCCCAAGAACAGTGTAATTTTTTTGGTCATGGTTTCCATGAAAAAACAAAATACATACACAGTACCCTTGAGGCCTATCTGAAAATCTTACTCAGCAAATTGGGTATTTCTGTATAGTCTTTACTTCACATACCAGCCAAACTTTTAGAAAATTCAGAGTCCTTTTTTCCATGTATAAGGAAAAATAAAGCAATTAAAAGGGTTTTTAAAGAAATAACTGTTGTTAGAATAAATAATAGCTGTGAAGTTACTGAAGTGAGAGATATTCTGAGTTAAAATTATGAATTGCAACAGCTTTTATTCCTTGGTGTTGGTTTACCCCCAACACTGGACAAGAAAACATAAAAACTTTTCTTTGTATGCAGTAAAGAGGACTCACTTTCCTTCTTCCTCCTTCCCATAGCTTTCAGCCGCGCCCCTATCCCAATGGCTGTGGTCCGCAGAGAGCTCTCCTGTGAGAGTTACCCCATAGAGCTGCGCTGTCCAGGGACAGATGTCATCATGATTGAAAGTGCCAACTACGGGAGGACTGATGATAAAATCTGTGACTCGGACCCTGCTCAGATGGAGAATATACGATGCTATCTGCCAGATGCCTATAAGATTATGTCTCAAAGGTATGATACTTCTAATGTTCTTTATAAAATTTATTTGTAGTGCATTTTTCTGTTATCTATCATCCTTATAGATTCTTCTCCGCTCCACGCCCCCTCGCCCCCGCCACCACAATCACCGCATTGTTGTCCATGTCCTTGAGTCCTTTGTCCTTTTGGCTCAATCCCTCCGCATTCTAACCCCACCATACAGCTGTCAGCCTGCTCTCTATCCATGAGTCTGTCTCTATTTTGCTTGTTAGTTCAATTTGTTCACTAGATTCCACAGGTGAGTGAAATCATATGGTATTTTTGTTTCTCTGACTGACTTATTTCACTTAGCATAATGTTCTCCAGGTTTATCCATGCTGTTGCAAATGGTAAAATTTTCTTCTCCTTTTATGGCTGAGTAGTATTAAATTGTGTAAATTTATCATAGTTGTTTTATCCACTCATGTACTGATGGACAATTGGGCTGCTTCCAAATCTTGGTACCTGTAAATAATACTGCAAGGAACATAGGGGCAGTTATATTCTTTCGAATTAGTGTTTTGGGTTTCTTCGGGTCAAATCCCAGAAGTGGAATCTGTCGGTCCTAAGGCAGGCCCATTTTTATCTTTTTTGAGGTAACTCCATACCACTTTCCACAGTGGTTGCATCAGTCTGCATTCCCAGCAAGAGTGCAAAAGGTTCCCCTTTCTCCACATCCTGGCTAGCACTTGTTGTTTGTTGATTCATTGGTGATTTCCATTCTGACCAGTGTAAGATGATAACGCATTGTGGTTTTAATTTGTTTTTCTCTGATGGTTAGTGATATTGAGCATCTTTTGATATGTCTGTTGGCCATTTTGTATGTTCTTTTTGGGGAAGAGTCAATTCATGTCGTTTGCCCAGTTTTTCATTGGATTATTTGGATTTTTGGTGTTGAGTTTTCTAAGTTCTTTATACATTTTGGATATTAACCCCTTATCAGATATATGATTGGTGAATCTATTCTCTCATTACATGGGTTGTCTTTTTATTTTGTTGATGGTTTCCTTTGCTGTGAAAACCACTTTCTCTTGGTATAGTACCATTTGTTTATTTTTTTTTCCATCCCTCTTGCCTGAGGGGGATATATCACAAAAAACATTGCTACAAGCAATGTCCGAGTTATTACTGCCTATTTTTTTTCCTAGGATTTTTATGGTTTGGGGTCTAACATTTAAGTCTTCAGTCCATTTTGAATTTATTCTTAAAGACTTGTACTCAGGAAATTGTAAGGCACTGAAGAAAGAAATTGAAGAAGGTACAAATAAATGGAAGCACATAACGTGTTTATGGATAGGGAGAATTAATATCATTAAAATGTCCATACTACCCAAAGTAATCTATAGATTCAATGCAATTCCTATCAAGCTATCAATGTTGCATTTCATGGAACTAGAACAAATATTTCAAAAAATGTATATAGAATCACAAAAAGCCCTTGATAGGAACAGCAATATTGAGAAAGAAGAACAAAGTTGGAGCAATAATGTTATCTAATATTAAGCTAAACTATAAAGTCATAGTAATCAAAACAGTGTGGCCGTGGCATAAAAACAGACACATAGATCAATGGAACAAAATAAAGAGCCCAGAAATAAAACCACACCTTTATAGTCAGTCAATATTTGACAGAGGAAGCAAGCACATACAATGGGCTAAAGATAGTTTATTCAAAAAATAATGTTGGGAAAATTAGACAGATTGGTGCGAAAAAATGAAACTAGACCACCTTCTTACACCACACACATGAACAAATTCTAATATTCTTTTCTTTGTGCATTTAATACAGACTCCCAATATACACCTGTGTGACATATTCAGCATAGCTAAGGACATAGTATTGTATTATTTTAGGATAATTTGAACTACTATTTCAGTATCAAACTATCCCTCATATCACTGAAATGATAGTATTACAATTGCAAGTACCTTTTGGAAATTATTAATATTCATTAGGTTATTTATTCAGTTTCATTGTCTACTGCATATTCTCTAGAAATGGGGTTATTAAATGAGAAACTAAATTTATGTTTTATGGTTTTTAAAAGCAGAATTTTATAATTTTCACCAGAGGTACAGAAAAATTATCTTAATGCTAACAATTATTTTCTATCAGCATAGGAAGAACACAATAGCAATTAAATTAACAGGAAATTTTTATAACCATTAATCAAGATACAATACAATAAAATACTTGATTAAAGATTATTTGGCCTTAGAAACAATGAAAAAAATTATTCTTTTAATAAGTAGGATATGTTAATTCATTTAATACATAAAAGCTTTCTAAAATGTTACCATATTAAAATAGTATAAATTAAGGTGCCATATAACATCATTGGATGAGGAAAAGATCTTCACCTCTAAAGAGACTGGTCAATAGTTACCCATACTATAGAATGTTTGAACTATATTAATTTTTTGATAAACTTACTAAATGTTACATATATTTAAATACATATTTACTATTACTGTAATTCAGAATTCAGAGAGGAAGTCATTCATTTAATATAAGCCCTCTTGATATATGAGCACTTGGTCACAAAGTGAATTTTAAATAATCAATTATTTCGTATAGTGAATTTGATTTTTTGTCAGGATTTTTTAATTAGGCATTTCTTTTCTTCTGTTGTTTAAGGATTTGTTAAAATGTGTGGGGAATTGTAGCATATGTAAAAATATACAAATTGAAGTATAAAAGTGAAAATAACTAGTTTCAAGGATTACTTTTCTTGTATATAAGAAAGACTGTCTTAGCCTTGGCTGGTGTGGCTCAGTGGATTGAGCGCCAGCCTGCAAACTATAGGGTCACTGGTTTGATTCCCAGTCAGGGCACATGCTGCCTGGGTTGTGGGCCAAGTCCCCAATAGAGGGCAAATGAGAAGCAACCAGACAATGTGTTTCTCTCCCTCTCTTTCTCCTTCCCCTCCCCTCTCTCTAAAAATAAATCAATAAAACCTTAAAAAAGGACTGTCTTATTTTTAACCCTTTGTATTCTTGGTATACTTAAAATTCTATGTATGTTTGTATGTGATTAATAAATTGGCAGAGTCATTATGTTATTTTTATAAATTGCTATTGTATCCAGTAATAAGTTATAACATGCTAGGATTTTGATAATCAAAACATGTGAGATATATTTGAAGGATTGTGGTCTCTCTGGGAAAATCTGAGGGTTTTTGTCTATTTTTAAAATATTGGCTCATGCTAAGATGACTGTAAGGAATAAGATTTTTAAATTATGGATACTATTTGATATTAGTTTGGTTTCATTTGATTCTTCTTATGTATCTCTCTCATTGTTATATATTTGACATATACCAACTATGGTTACATTTTCTGCTCTTATGCCTAAAAGATGCCTAATCATTTCATTTCATGTAGATATTATAATGATCTTACAGCAGTAGTTTTCCTTGAGTAGTACAGAATAGATGCATTGCTTCTCTCAGACCACCGCACTTTAGAATCCATTTGGGGTATAGGTTGAGGAGGAGATTCTGCGTTTCTGTGATTAGGTTTTCATTTAAAATGTAGCAGACGCATTAACTTCACTAGGTCTTTGATCAGTATATGGTTTTCATTGAAACTGTTTTAATCTTTTCATTGATATCATTCATGCCTCCCCAAATAAGTCCTTAATTTTATAATTATTGTAAAAAAATCCTCTGGAGGTGCTGAATTATATGGGATGCAACTATAAAGTGACAAATCCTCAGAGTGAAATTGCTTTAAGCACCTGAGTAAATCATTTGTGGAAGCCCTCCTGGTGGTTTCTCAAGTAAGAATTGTCACTTAGCTGAAATAACTGTGGTGAATTCTCAATGGAGGCAAGTTCCTTGCTTGTATTTGGACTATTAAATATATTTACACTTTCGCAAAATAAATGCTTTGACTCTTAGGGAGAAGAAACCAGGTTCCAGCTTTTAATCCCTCAAGAGATAGAATCGTCATGTCCACTTAAGCTGTTTATAATGAACTTGCACAGTCATGCCAATGACAAAGTGTTAAATAATGCTAATAATTACTAATTATGGTATGAGCAGTTTGATGCATTTGAACTTAAATCATAATGGCAAACATCTTTTCTAAAAGAGATTAACAACTTTTCTTTCATCTTCTCTATCTAGAAATATACCGTCTCAAGTTCTAAACATTTTAAGCATGTCTCTCTAGATGGGAGGATTACTAAAAAAAAATTATTTGTGTATCCTTGCATAACCATGTTAAAAAGGCTTCATAATTTGTTTCAGCCTCATAAATCAGACAAAAATCACAGGTAAGGACAGACTGGAAACATTTTTATAATATGTGGGTGTTCGCATACACATTGAATGAATGCATAAAGAAAAGTGTATACTAACCTGTTAGTTAAATGTGAAAAATTGGGGACTTGAATTAAAAAGTGTGTACCACTTTATTTGCACATTTCCCCCCAGTAGAACGGTGCCATCTGCTAGCTGCTCCAGAGAAGCCAGTTTTCTCCCTGCCTTTCAGAGTGCACCTCCTGTTCTCAAATCCAAGTGTGTTCTCCTGCCGTTCTGCCCGCCCCCCCACGGATTTCCTGTGCTTTTTAACATTATCCTTCAAGACAACTTGTTCAACTGCCACAACACATTTATTTGTCCTTCTCAGAATTTCTAACCTCACTCATTATCATCTACATCCATCTTTATTGCATCTAAATAGTTATAAACCTATATTATCACATTTTAGACAGTTGTCTTGTCTAAAGTAAATAGTAGGCTTCTAGGGGCCAGACTTTCTGTTCATCTTATCTAAAACTAACTTTTGACATATAATGGTATGTAAATGAAAGAAAAAATATACTCTTTAATTTTGTAACTTAAAAACTTTATTAATTCTATTAACAGGGTTTTGTTTTGTTTTGTTTTGTTTTATTGTATGTTTACACACCTAAGAGGGTTTAAAAATAGTTCATATAACATTGGATTCTAAATATGAAAATGGCTCTTGGCAACTGGTAACTGCCG